CCTTCCAACGCATACACACCTCCAGCCCCCCCTCCCTCCCTCCCATCCAGACCATGTACACCTCCCTCGCCTCCCTCCAACCATACAACCCTCCCTCCCTCCAACCAGACACCCACCCCTCCCCCTCCCTCCAACATACAGCCCTACCCTCGCCCTCCAACAGTACACCTCCCACCATCCAACCATACACCCTCCCTCCCTATCCAACCAAATACACCCTCCCTCCCTCCAACCATACACGCCTCCCTCACCCAAGACCATACACCCTCCCTCCAACCATACACCCTCCCCTCCAACCATACACCCTCCCTCCCTCCAACCATACACCCTCCCTCCCTCCAACCATACACCCTCCCTCCTCCAACACATACACCTCCCACCATCCCACCATATGCCCTCCCTCCCTCCAACCATACACCCTCCATCCAACCATACACTGACCTCCCCCCTCCAACCATACACCCTCCATCCAACCATAACACCCCCTCCTTCCACAATACACCCTCCCTCCAACCATACACTCTCCCTCCCTCCAACCATACCCCTCCCTCCATCCAACTAAACACCCTTCCCTCACATCCAACCATAACCCCCTCCCTCCCTCCAACATACAACCCTCCCTCCGCACCAACCTAACCACCCCTCCCCCCTTCCCTCCAACCATACACCCTCCCTCCCTCCAACATACACCCTTCCCTCCCTCCAACCATTACACCTCGCCTCCCTCACCAACCATAACACCCTCCCTCCATCCAAACCATACACCCTCCCTCCAACCATACACCCTCCCTCCAACATACACCCTCCTTCCCTCCAACCATACACCCTCCTCCCTCCAACCAAACACCCTCCACTCCACCTCCAACATACACCTCCCTCCATCCACCTTATGCCCTCCTCCCTCCAACCATACACCCACACCCTCACCCAACCATACACCCTCCTCCCTCCAACCATACACCCTCCATTCATCCAACCATACACGCTCCCGTCCAACAATAACACCCTCCGCTCCAACCATACACTCTCCCTCCCTCCAACCATACCGCCTCCCTCCATCCAACCTATTACACCCTCCTCCCTCCAACCATACACTCGATCCCTCTATCCAACATCACAACCCCCCACCATCCATCCAACCTCCCTCCCTTCCAACCATACAACCCTCCCTCCCTCCAACCATACAACCACCCTCGCTCCCTCCAACCATACAACCCTCCCCCCATCCAACCATACACATCTCCCCTGCCATCCAACATACACCTTCCCTCCCTCCATCCAACCATACAACCTCCCTCCCTCCAACCATACACCCTCGCCTAATACTCCCTCCAACCATACACCTCCCTCCCTCCTCCAACCATACACCTCCCTCCCCCACAACCAACACCCACCCTCGCTCCCTCCAACCATACACCCACCCTCCCTCAACCATACACCCTCCCATCCCTCCCTCCAACCATACACCCTCCTCCCGCCAATCATACACCCACCCTCCCTCCCTCCAACCATACACCCTCCCTCCCTCCAACCATACACCTCCCTCCATCACCAACAAACACCCTCCCTCCCTCCACCATACACCCTCCCTCCGCTCCACCATCACCCTCCCCTTTCCCCCCCCATCCAGACCATACACCCTCCCTCCAACCATACACCCTCCTCCAACCATACACCCTCCCTCCCTCCAACCATAACACCCTCCCTCCCTCCAACCATACACCCTCCCTCCCTCCAACCATACACCTCCCTCCATTCCAAACATATGCCCTCCCTTCCTCCAACCCATCACACCCTCCATCCAACCATACACCCTCCCCCCCTCCAACCATACACCCTCCCCCCCTCCAACCATACACACCCATCCAACCATACACCCTCCCTCCACAATACGACCCCCCTCCAAACATACCTCTCCCTCCCTCCAACCATACCCCTCCCTCCATCCAATCTATACACCCTCCCTCACTCCACCATACACCCCTCCCTCCCCCCAACCATACACCCTCCATCCCTCCAACATACACCCTCCTCCTCCACCATACACCCTCCCCCCTCCAACCATACACCCTCCCCCCTCCATACACGTCGCCTCCATCCAACCAACACCATCCCTCCGCAACCATACACCCTCCCTCCCTCCAACCATCCCCCTCCCTCATCCAACTATACCCCTCCCTCCAACCATACACCACGCTCCCTCCCCCCAACCATAACACCCTCTCTCCCTCCAACCATACACCCACCCTCCCTCCACCCATACACCCTCCATCCCTTCCAACCATAACACCCTCCCTCCTCCCTCCAACCATACACCCCTCCCTCCCTCCAACCATACACCCTCCATCCCTCCAACCCATACCCCCCGCTCCCTCCAACCATACACCCACCCTCCATCCAACCATACACCCTCTCTCCCTCCAACCATACACTCCTCCCTCCCTCCAACCATACACCCGCCCTCCCTCAACCATACAACCCTCCCTCCCTCCAACCATACACCCTCCCTCCATCAACCATACACCCTCTCTCCACTCCAACCATACACCCTCCCTCCTCCAACCAAACACCCCCCTCCATCCAACCAAACAACCCTCTACTCACCTCCAACCATACACCCTCCCTCCCTCCAACCATACACCCCTCCCTCCATCCAACCAAACACCCTCCCTCCTCCAACCATACACCCTCCTCCATCCAACCAAACACCCTCTCTCCTCCAACCATACACCCTCCCTCCATCCAACCCAACACCCTCTCTACCCTCCAACCATACACCCTCCCTCCCTCCAACCATAACAACCTCCCTCCATTCCCAACCAAACACCCTCCCTCCCTCCAACCTTACACCCCCCTCCATCCAACCAAACACCCACTCTCCCTCCAACCATACACCTCACTCCTCCAACAATACACCCTCCCTCCCCTTCCCAACCATACACCCTCGTCTCGCCTCCAACCATACACCCCCCTCCCTCCAACCATACACCCTCTTCATCATCCTGTTTCTTCCACAACCCAAACCACATTAACAAGTGGAACACGCAAAAGTTTAATACCAATAATGAAAGTCGGGTCACCTCATGGACAAAACTCGGGCCGGGACTATACTGGTGAATCTCACACATCACAATAATCAAAGTTCTGAACTTCATAATTCAGACTATTTGTAGATAATTGGTCAGTATCATCTAAGGCATATGTAATTTTTTAATAAATGACAGAATGACTGGCCCAGTGGTTTATGCACTGGTCCGGAGTCTTATGACTCACTTGCCATGGAGTCAACACCCCACCAGTTACCTGGTTTGTTTGAAATTGTGTTATTACAATTGTATGAGTCTTAACTTTTAATATCTTGCTTATTGGTGTGTATGTATGTATGTCTGTAGTATGTATGTATTGTATGTATATATAAATATATTATAATATATATATATAATATATATATATATATATATATATGATATATATATTATAAAATATATAAATATTAAATATATCTATGATAATATATATATATAAATACATTGGCTGGTCCCCCACCACGACAGGGTGACCCAACCCAAAAACAAAACACTTTCACCTCATTCCACGCTATCACTGTCTTGTCAGGGATGTGCAGATTATGAAAGTTTAACACCTTGACTGTCGCTCCCCCAATCCTGAAGTGAGGTGTCTCACTGGGTCGCAAAATTTAAAAAAAAAAAAAAATTATTTGGGGAGGTGAAATGATAGAGAATCTTTTCCCCGATTGTAATGACACCAAAAAAAAACGAATTTTGATGGAAAACTGACGGGGAATTTATACTCGCGCGAAGTTAGCGACCTCGGCGCTGTTTAAAATCGGCGATTTTCGCTCCGCTTTGAGCCCCTATTTCGGCTAATTCCATTGTTCCAGTCGCCCAAACTCAATACTGATTTCTTTTAGAACTTCATTTTTTCTATCGATGAGTACAAGAAACTGCCCATTTACTGATTTCAACTACCTATAAATGGGTCAGAAATTTGCAATTTGGCAAATTATCACGAAAACTAAAAATATGACAATTCAAAATAAGGTCCAAATGAACAATTGCAGTCATTCCTGGCTCTAAAATAACATTTTCTTTGTTCATGCAGTCACGTCTCCAGGTCCTCCTCTGATAATACTCTTGCTTTCTATTTTGAATTTTTATCAAACAAAAAATATTAGACTTACTATTATGCAGACTACTGCAATGCTGTAATAATTGTATAAATAACATCAACCCATTCATGACTGCATATTAGAATGGCTAGTTGGACATTTATTGGACAATGGCATCATTTGTTTACTTTTGAACATTGGCAAAAATCAAACATTTCCCCTACTTTGAGCTCCATTTCTAGGTTCTTTTTATAGTAAAATCAATCAAAAACACCTCTATTTCTGTAATATGTTTTCCATTCTATCAAATGAAGCCAAGAAAACGAGAATACAACCATAAATACTATACGAAAATAGACCACAAAGTCGGCATTTTAATTAAAAAAACGGTCGGAGTTTTTTTTTTCTCATTATGCACTGCGTGCTCCAGGATTTTTTTTATATGGTGCACACTGACCACACAGACCCATTCTCTCACATGTGGGCCTACCAGCTTTCTCCTGCTTGATTTGAAGCCGCTAGAATTTATGAGTATATATACGTCAAACACGGCACCTCGTAAAACGTATATATACGGCCGCGACAGTCAAAGGGTTAAATGTCCCTCTAAGCAGCAAATATCACAAATCTCTGCTTTTAGAATGCAGGCACTGTACTTCCTCCCTCCAGGACTCAAGTCCAGCTAACCAGACTTGTATGCATTTTATTTAGCGACAAGTAAACTGTTGTATCTGAGCACCTTTGCATAGACAGTGATTATGTGTGAATGATGGTGGAAGTGTTGAATGATGGTGAAAGTCTCTCTTTTTTGGGTCACCCTGCCTTGGTGGGAGACGGTCAACGTATTAAGAAAAAAAACAGATTAACTTACTTGTCTCTTCTTTCAACCTTGGCTCCTGCGTCAAGAAGCATGGTAATAGCCACTGCTTGGTTAAGATCGGCAGCTCGATGTAATGGAGTTTGTTGGTTACAATCAATACTGTCCAGTCGTGCACCTCTCTGTTAAAATAATAATTCAAGTGTTTAACACTCAGTAAATAATACACAGATTTTCATTTTTTTTAACACCCTGGCCGTCTCTCACCGAGGCAGTGTGACCCAAAAAAAGAAATGCTTTCACCATTCACATTATCACACATTTTATTAAAAATAAATTATTGGAATAGGCTAAGACTATCTTCTTAAAGCATTTATTACACTGCTAGAGCACTCAGTTCACACACTGAGTTTGATCCCTGGTGTGGGTGGAAACAATGGGTGTGTTTCTTCAAGATACCCCAATGGAAATAAGTCACTGTCTGACTTTTTTAGGTTATCCAAGGATCTCTCCACATGTGCTGCTATGTACGATAATCTATGTAACTGTATTTGTGTATAGGTACCTGAATAAACTTACCTGCTGTCCCCGTCTCTATTCACTTGGTGTGGGTAGTGCGGTTAAGTATTAGGTTAAGCCTGCCTGAAATGCCTCGGCATGATAGTGGCTTTCTCAGTACCAATCAAATTATGAAATGTAAACACACATTGTAACCTTAGAAAAGAAATAATATTTGATTTTATTTTTATTTTAAGTTGTGGGAAATTTTAGATTTTGCCACCGAAGTGGCTAGTTTATTGTGCACCCCATATCCATCCTGTGGACGGTAGTGCAAGAGCATATGGATACACAAAAGGCCTAGGAACTAGGCCCCAAAGGGTTAACAGGAATACATATGGATTTATATCTACATATGTTGGAAATGCTCTGCATAATCAGGGACTTTCTAAATGGTATGTCACTGCTCTCAGATATGGTCAGTGTGAGTTGTATCATGTACTTGTGGAAATAGATTATTATAATATGCAGTGCATTAAATGTTTTAAGAGGATAATGTATTTCTTACACCCTGTGAAGTATACAGTGGTACCTCGGGATATAAATAGCTCAAAATTTGAGCAATTATGTAAGTGTATTCAAGTGCTTTTGTAAGTGTATTTTTGGGGGTCTGAAATGGATTAATCTAATTTACATTATTCCTTATGGGAACAAATTCGTTTGGTATCGGCACTCGAACTGCCCTCTGGAACGAATTAAGTTCGTATCCCAAGGTACCACTGTACTTCTATGCAATATATCCTACTACACAAGCTATGGATAAAATATTTATATAAATAACACAGCAGAACAAATATTCTCACTTCACATCTCTCCTCATTCTTATGAACATTCTCCACCATTCTTGTTATTAATTCATACAGTATTATTACTGACACAGCAAACATCCCTCAATTATAAGACACCATTTTGCACTCAACATATTTTATAATATACTATTTTTTGACAACAGTCAAAATAAATTCTTAATGTAGCCACCAAGGGCAATGTATCATCCACAAGTAAGATGGCATAGGATAACATTTTGTCTGGATTTTTAACCCCGGAGGGTTAGCCACCCAGGATAACCCAAGAAAGTCAGTGCGTCATTGAGGACTGTCTGTCTTGTTTCCATTATGGTTCTTTAATCTTGCTCCCCCAGGATGCAACCCACACCAGTCCACTAACACCCAGGTACCTACTTATTGCTAGGTGAACAGGGACAGTAGGTGTAAGGAAACACGTCCAATGTTATACATTAGAGTAAAATATATAAAAAATTTCAGTAAATATAAACACCAAAAATAAAACTACAAAAGAATATAAATTCCTAAGAAAATAACAGCATTCTGAAATGTATATAGAACTGTAGTGAATATACTGTTAACTATATTATAGAGTATACTGAAGGAAGGGTGTTGATATGTTGCAGTTTTTTAACTCTAGTGTCGGAACGCCTCTGGCAAGACAGTGATGGAGTGAATGATGATGGAAGTGTTTCTTCTTTTTCACATCACCCTACCTCACTAGTAAATGGCTGATGTATACTGTATGGTATAGTATATACAGTATACACTGTAATTCAAAATATTTCTTTTATCACTCATCTTACTAGTGCACTTGTATGTTTTAAAATACGTGGCCCGGTGGCCTGGTGGGTAAAGCTCCCGCTTCACACACGGAGGGCCTGGGTTCGATTCCCGGCGGGTGGAAATTCCGACACATTTCCTTACACCTGTTGTCCTGTTCACCTAGCAGCAAATAGGTACCTGGGTGTTAGTCGACTGGTGTGGGTCGCATCCTGGGGGACAAGATTAAGGACCCCAATGGAAATAAGTTAGACAGTCCTCGATGACGCACTGACTTTCTTGGGTTATCCTGGGTGGCTAACCCTCCGGGGTTAAAAATCCGAACAAAATCTCTCTCTAAAAATGTTGTTTATACATCAGTGTGATGTCAATATGTTTTCCCTGTAATATTCAGTACTGTAGTTCTCATTTTTATAATATGTTGGCAGTCTCCCACTGAGGCAGAGTGACCTGAAAAAGAAACACTTTCACCATCATTCACACTCTCACTGTCTTGCCAGAGAGGAGCAGATACAACAGTTTAAATGCCCCTCTCAACAGCAAATATCCCAAAACCCTCGTTTAGTGTGCAGACATTGTACTTCTCACCTCCAGGACTCAAGTCCAGCTAACCAGATTCCCTGAATCCCTTCACAAAATATTACCCTGCTCACACTCCAACAGCTCGTCAAGTACTTTTCATACTGTAAGGCCCCACTTATACAGCAGGTTAAGTTCTGGGCTACTGTAAGGCCCCACTTATACAGCAGGTTAAGTTCTGGGCTACTGTAAGGCCCCACTTTACAGCAGGTTAAGTTCTGGGCTACTGTAAGGCCCCATTTATACAGCAGGTTAAGTTCTGGGCTACTGTAAGGCCCCACTTATACAGCAGGTTAAGTTCTGGGCTACTGTAAGGCCCCATTTATACAGCAGGTTAAGTTCTGGGCTACTGTAGGGCCCCACTTATACAGCAGGTTAAGTTCTGGGCTACTGTAAGGCCCCATTTATACAGCAGGTTAAGTTCTGGGCTACTGTAAGGCCCCACTTATACAGCAGGTTAAGTTCTGGGCTACTGTAAGGCCCCATTTATACAGCAGGTTAAGTTCTGGGCTACTGTAGGGCCCCACTTATACAGCAGGTTAAGTTCTGGGCTACTGTAAGGCCCCATTTATACAGCAGGTTAAGTTCTGGGCTACTGTAAGGCCCCACTTATACAGCAGGTTAAGTTCTGGGCTACTGTAAGGCCCCACTTATACAGCAGGTTAAGTTCTGGGCTACTGTAGGGCCCCACTAATACAGCAGGTTAAGTTCTGGGCTACTGTAAGGCCCCACTTATACAGCAGGTTAAGTTCTGGGCTACTGTAAGGCCCCATTTATACACCAGGTTAAGTTCTGGGCTACTGTAAGGCCCCACTTATACAGCAGGTTAAGTTCTGGGCTACTGTAAGGCCCCACTTATACAGCAGGTTAAGTTCTGGGCTACTGTAAGGCCCCATTTATACAGCAGGTTAAGTTCTGGGCTACTGTAAGGCCCCATTTATACAGCAGGTTAAGTTCTGGGCTACTGTAAGGCCCCATTTATACAGCAGGTTAAGTTCTGGGCTACTGTAAGGCCCATTTATACAGCAGGTTAAGTTCTGGGCTACTGTAAGGCCCCATTTATACAGCAGGTTAAGTTCTGGGCTACTGTAAGGCCCCACTTATACAGCAGGTTAAGTTCTGGGCTACTGTAAGGCCCCATTTATACAGCAGGTTAAGTTCTGGACTACTGTAAGGCCCCATTTATACAGCAGGTTAAGTTCTGGGCTACTGTAAGGCCCCATTTATACAGCAGGTTAAGTTCTGGGCTACTGTAAGGCCCCATTTATACAGCAGGTTAAGTTCTGGGCTACTGTAGGGCCCCACTTATACAGCAGGTTAAGTTCTGGGCTACTGTAAGGCCCCATTTATACAGCAGGTTAAGTTCTGGGCTACTGTAGGGCCCCACTTATACAGCAGGTTAAGTTCTGGGCTACTGTAAGGCCCCACTTTTTACAGCAGGTTAAGTTCTGGGCTACTGTAGGGCCCCACTAATACAGCAGGTTAAGTTCTGGGCTACTGTAAGGCCCCACTTATACAGCAGGTTAAGTTCTGGGCTACTGTAAGGCCCCATTTATACAGCAGGTTAAGTTCTGGGCTACTGTAAGGCCCCACTTATACAGCAGGTTAAGTTCTGGGCTACTGTAAGGCCCCATTTATACAGCAGGTTAAGTTCTGGGCTACTGTAAGGCCCCACTTATACAGCAGGTTAAGTTCTGGGCTACTGTAAGGCCCCACTTATACAGCAGGTTAAGTTCTGGGCTACTGTAGGGCCCCACTTATACAGCAGGTTAAGTTCTGGGCTACTGTAAGGCCCCACTTATACAGCAGGTTAAGTTCTGGGCTACTGTAAGGCCCCATTTATACAGCAGGTTAAGTTTGGGCTACTGTAAGGCCCCACTTATACAGCAGGTTAAGTTCTGGGCTACTGTAAGGCCCCACTTATACAGCAGGTTAAGTTCTGGGCTACTGTAAGGCCCCACTTATACAGCAGGTTAAGTTCTGGGCTACTGTAGGGCCCCACTTATACAGCAGGTTAAGTTCTGGGCTACTGTAAGGCCCCACTTATACAGCAGGTTAAGTTCTGGGCTACTGTAAGGCCCATTTATACAGCAGGTTAAGTTCTGGGCTACTGTAGGGCCCCACTTATACAGCAGGTTAAGTTCTGGGCTACTGTAAGGCCCCACTTATACAGCAGGTTAAGTTCTGGGCTACTGCTGTAAAGCAAAAATCACTGTACAGTGAAACAGTGTCTTTTCACTTTCAAAAGCATAAAGTCTGATAACATGATTACACTATCATATACTATTGTATTAAGTGAGTAATCGAGTTAGGCCAAAAAGATGTATATACAGTACACACATTACTTACCTTAATATATTTTTGTCCTTATAGTGAGCGGTGAACATTTTTATTATAGGAAGTCTGAATAAATGAAGAAAAGATATAACTGAAAACAGTTGCATCAGTGAAATGCTGTAAAGTGAAATCCTGTTAAGGGAAGCACTGTTAAGTGAAACACTGTAAAGTGAAGCGCTGTAAAGTGAAGCACTGTAAAGTGAAGCGCTGTAAAGTGAAGCGCTGTAAAGTGAAGCGCTGTAAAGCACGGCCCGTCTGTACGTATTGTTAGATGTCAAATTTAGTAAGCATAATTAATATAGGCAGACCTTGAGTAAGAGTGTGAGAAGATCAGTATCTCCGACCGCAGCCGCAGCATGGAGAGGTGTGGCTAGAGTGTCCCGTACAGCATCAACATCGGCACCGGCATCCAGCACACGTCTGACAACCTGTCCCAGATATTGGAATTTTGTAAGTGAGATCACGATTTAAATTTACTGAGCATGTATTATGAATATTCCTTTATGGGGTTCACGTAGCGTGTTTGCTCTGGTTATTATTTTTCATATTTTTTAAAGATTTACTGAAAGAAAGTTTTAACTGAGGCCTCAGACATAATTTAAAATATCTACAGTGGCTTTAGTAAATTACAATTTCTTCATAAATAAGCCCTTGTGGATTAGCACTTCTTTTTCATTATAATAATAATAATAATCATTATAAATGCAATTGAAAAAGTGTATTCATAAAGGACGCCAGTGGAAATAAGTCGCTTTGTTTTACTTTTTTTGGGTTATCCCAGGTTCTCTACACATATACTGCTATGTATGATAATCTTTGTAACTATCTGTGTATACGTGAATAAACTTAATGAAGAGCGGAAGACCTTCATGGACATAGTATTCAATTTTTTATGTACGTTTTAAATTACATTTGCAAAAAAAAAAAACTGTATAAAATAACTTTGCCAGAGATCTGAATGTACAATACAGTATATATTGTACAGAACACCAGCAAGATTACACATGCATAACACCTGGGTATCCTTATCTTAACTTAGTCGTAAGTTTGCCTGAAATACTCTGTGGTTGTGGTTCGTATGTCAGCTTGCGTGTAGCCAGCAGTAACAGCCTGGTTGATCAGACCCTGATCCACCACGAGGCCTGGTATCAGATTGGGCCGTGGGGGCGTTGACCCCCAAAACCCTCTCCAGGTAAACTCCAGGTATATTAAGGGACTTTCTGCATGCACACCTACATGTCATTCACCTTTGTACAAACATTGTATTTATTTATTTATTTATTTATTTATTTAATGTCTTTGCAAACAGTACATTGAGATTGTGTATATACAATAGTGGGTTGCAATGCAAAGAGAGAGACTATTATACCTAGGCATTATGGACCAACTTAACATTATTGACTTACATTATACAGTGGACCCCCGGTTAACGATATTTTTTCACTCCAGAAGTATGTTCAGGTGCCAGTACTGACCGAATTTGTTCCCATAAGGAATATTGTGAATTAGATTAGTCCATTTCAGACCCCCAAACATACACGTACAAACGCACTTACATAAATACACTTGCATAATTGGTCGCATTCGGAGGTGATCGTTATGCGGGGGTCCACTGTACTTAATACTAAGGAGTAGTATATCATAGTTGTACAGTGGGAAAGTAATTATTTCAGAGTTGTACGGTAGAATATTAATTATAAATGAATCAAAATTTGTATAATACGCCCTGCCTTGGTGGGAATCGGTCAGTGTGATAATAATAAAATAATATTTATATTCTAAAATGCTTTCGTGAAAAACAATGATTCAATTTTATTCCTGTCAACAATGGATAAAAGGTTCACAGTGATTGTTGAAGTTATGACGTGGGAGTACATAGGTGAGTATGTATGTGTGTGCTGAGCAGTATTTAGCATTTAGTCTAGGGTGATTAAGTGGCTTTTGAGAAGAGTCTTAAATTGATTTTCAGACTGGGTTACTTTAATATCTTCTGGTAATGAATTCCATATTTTGGGGCCCTTTATCTTACTAAAATAAAGTAAGATTTTAATAAAGTTAACCAATATTATCTTGTTTAGTTTTAAGTACTAGTTACTATATACTAGGATTAGTCTGCCCAAAATACTAGTTACTATATACTAGGATTAGTCTGCCCAAAATACTAGTTACTATATACTAGGATTAGTCTGCCCAAAATACTAGTTACTATATACTAGGATTAGTCTGCCCAAAATACTAGTTACTATATACTAGGATTAGTCTGCCCGAAATGCCCCGGCATGATAGTGACTTTCTTTGTACTTAACAAACCAAAATTGTAATTACACATTGTAACCTTTACAAAGAAATAAAGCTTTATCTTTATCTTATTGGAGGATACATCTTGCAATAAAGATACCCAGATGTTGCACATGCATCTAATTCTTCATAGTTCTAGCAAGGTGGCTATGGTTGAAGATAGATATTTAGACCCGAAAAAAAAAATCTAATAATACATTGTCCTGGAGTATACCTGCATTTTTTGGGGTCTGAAACAGATCAATCTAATTTACATTGTTCCTTATGGGAACAAATTCATTTGGTATCGGCACACTAACAGCCTTCTGGAACGAACTAAGTTCATATCCTGAGGTACCACTGTATTAGATTTTTTGTTTTAGGTCTAACAAATTAAAAGAAACATTTTGTTTTTCAACAAACCAGCTGTATCCCACCAAGGCAGGGTGACCTAAAAAGAAAGATGAAAGTTGCTCTTTTTAAATTAATTTAGTAATGTATACAGGAGAAGGGGTTACTAGCCCCTTGTTCCCAGCATTTTAGTCGCCTCTTATTAGATTAGATTTTGCCACCAAAGTGGCTAGTTTATTGTGCACCCCATATCCATCCTGTGGAAGGTAGCGCAAGAGCATATGGATACACAAAAGGCCTAGGAACTAGGCCCCAAACGCCTCTTATGACACTCATATTATATATATTTTTTAATGCACTGGCTGTCTCCCACCAAGGCAGGGTGACCTAAAAAGAAAAACGAAAAATATTCTCTTTACATTTATTAATTTATACAGAAAGTGTTACTAGCCCCTCAGCTTATGAATTTATATTATTCTCTTGGAAAAATAAGTTAGCTATGCTAATAATGTCTTTCAAGCCATTTCTTTTATGTATGCTCGAAGGTGTGTGGTTAACAAACCTTGATGTGACCGTTGTTGACAGCATGATGGAGTGGCGTTTGACCTTCACTGTCTCGTTCACTAACCAGTCGTTCCACTAACTGCTCTCCTTCCTCTGCCATCGCAGACGTCAACAGCAGCTCAACAATTTCCTTCAAATGGTTGTTAGAAAAATGAACTTTATAAGCTTTGTAATAAAATTATGTAATCTGTTCTAAACAGTTACGGTATTTCACAAGTACAAGATACTACAACAGCATTTTAGGGACTACAATCAGCTGGAAAATAGATGATTGGAAATCCAGTTTGTGATTTGTATTATGAAAAACAATATTAATAGAACTTTCATTGATCCTCGGAAATAATATCAAAGGTATTACAGCCTCTCCTCACTTAACGACAGAGTTCTGTTCCTGAGACCACGTCGTTAAACGAATTCGTCATTAAGTGAGGAGCATACTATAATGGTAGTGGGTTTGTGTCAAACATCTTTGATGTTGTTTTAATATCACCTTTGCACCATTTATAACATTTCTGGTATATTTTTAAATGTTTATACAGTAGTGTACTGTATATTGAAATAAACAGAACAGAGGATATCAGCTCTAATATACATTATTTAGGTATGAATACTGGTCAGAGAGCCCATCATAAGTCTGAGGCATCAGTAAGTGAGTACGTCACTAAGTGAGGAGAGGCTGTATTTCTGTGCTTAACTCACAATCACATCAAACTGAAAAGAATAAGATAGGCCAGACTGGTGGTGTTAAGAGGTGTGACTGTCGGTTAGTTTGTACGGCACTATCAACAATTTTTTTTATTATAACTATTGTACTCTTTCCACATTTTTTTTTATTAACACACTGACCATCTCTCACTGAGGCAGGTCACCCAAAAAAGTAGCACTTTCACCATCATTCACTCTATCACTGTCTTGCCAGAAGCACATAGAAATGACAGTTTAGATGTCCAAACAGCAAATATCCTAAACCCCTCCTTTAGTGTAGGCACTGTACTTTCCACCTCCAGAATACATTTTTCAAAATTATCCTCAATGTTTTGCATAATTTTAGACTTTGCAAAAAAAAATGTCTATTCATTTATAATTACCTATGAACAGAACAATATTTTCTAAGTTAAATCTTAATTGTTTATAATTCTTAAAAAATCTGTTCTGTACTTTTTTGATTGACAAATAAATTTGTGAAGTTTATCACATGGAATACTCAACAAAATTACTTGATATCTAGAACAAATTTTATAAGATTTTAACACTTTAGGACAATTGGTAAATTTGGAGAGTCTCAATAACAATGGCAAGTCACATTCATTTAAATCTGAAACAAGTGTTAAAGGATACAATTAACTCACCATATGGCCTTCCATAGAGGCGCGATGCAAAGGCGTTTGTTCTGATTCATCCTTGGAAAATAAGCTGGCTCCAGCTTGGATTAAACGGCGACTAATGTCCACATAACCATAAGTTGCAGCAACAAAGAGTGGGGTCATTTTCTGCTTGTCTTTTGCCTTAAGAGTTATAAATAAAAAATAATTAAGCTACATATGTACTATAAAAAAGCCATACCAGGGGCGAGGATAGAACCCGTGATCAGAGAGTCGTAAAACTCCAGACCGACGCGCTAGCCACTGAGCCAGCTGGCTACAACAAGATTTGGCCAACTATAAATATACCTAGCTGGATGAATCTTGTTGTAGCCAGCTGGCCCAGTGGCTAGCACGTCGGTCTGGAGTTTAATGACTCTGATTGTGGGTTCCATCCCCACCAGTGGTATGATTTGTTTGCAATCGTGTCATTACAGTTTTGTGAGTACATACTGTAATCTAATTTCTTTCAGACCTCATGACAATACCTTACACTCAAAAGTCCTAGAAAGAGACTACAGGTGTTCCTCGACTTACGATGGTTAAGCTTACAATATTTTGACTTTACAATAGTGCAAAAGTGATTGCTTTAGTGACAAAGCTTAAGATAATTACCCAGCATGAAGGCAGCAACTCTCTAACTTGTTTTCATTTTTCTATTTTTCGATACTGGTACTGTGGTACCTAGAGTTTCAAACAGCTCCCAACTCGAACAATTATGTAAGTGTATTTTTGTAAGTGCTTTTGTAAGTATATTTTTTGGGGTCTGAAATGGACTAATCTAATTTACGTTATTCCTTATGGGAACAAATTCGTTCAGTATCGGCACTCGAACAACCTTCCGGAATGAATTAAGTTCGTAACTTGAGGTACCACTGTATTTAGTTAGTTACAGCAATTATTTGTTTATCTAGTTATTCAGTGAGTAGTTATTTATTTTCTTATTTATTTAACATACAGTTTATTCATATTTGACTTAAGATATTTTCAACTTACAATGGGTTCACTGGAATGTAACCTCATCATAAGTCAAGGAGCACCTGTAGTCACACTAACTGTGATTAGTTAATAGTCTCAGTCAGACCAAAATGCCGTGATAAATTTCTTTTTCCTATGTGCAGGTTATTTGTTATACTGACCTCCACTTTATGGAAATACAGCTTTGTATAAACTTACCTCATAAAAGATATGAGGACATTTGAGGAGATCCCTGGCAGCAGGATCATTACCTCTCATTGCAGCATAGTGCAAGGGTGTCTGGTCGTACACATCTCGAGCATTGACCTCGGCTCCACATTCCACCAGTATCCTGATGACGGAGGTCTCAGAAATACTTCCAATACCGATCTCTGATCTTGAGTGCACGGAATTGATAGTGAAGTTATACTGCTCTGTAATAAGAAAAATGAACAATGCTGATGAAAATTCTAAACCCACAGAACAGCTACAGGCTGACCATCATTAATCTGGGTGCCAGACTATCACTGTGCCACACCTGGCACAGTAAATCACAAGAAACTGTGTCATACCTTTGAAAGCCCTGGAATGCAAACCTTTACTGATGACGCTAGCTGAAATCAGTGCTGGATTAGCGATGGAACCAGATTAGTGACTGCTGGATCTGTGATGGCCAATCTGTACTCTTCCCGATTCTTATTATGCATTTCAACACCTCTTTATAAGAAGTGTTCTTCCTATTATCCTAGACTGCGTTTCAAACTAGACATACAAAATCTTAATAACACAATTGCAAACAGACCATAAAACAGGTGGAGTTTGAACCAATGGCAAGCAAGTCATAAAACTCCAGGCCAGTGCATAAGCCACTGGACCAGCTGGCTTATTATAGCCAGCTGTACCAGTGGTTTATGCACTGGCCTGGAGTTTTACGATTCACTTGTCATGAGTTCAAACCCCAGCTGTTCTGTGGGCAGACATACCATTTTCTCCAGTGGTATTCTGTTCACTGTCTTCTCCATTTTCACTCTTCTCTTCTTCTTTCGGAGGAGGAGAAGGCATTGGTGAGTAGCGTCTGTTTGGTTTAATCTGCTTGCGATACCTGAAAGGTTATAAATCATTATCTTAATGCAGTACTGTGGTATATTTTGTTCTGAGCAAGATTTTACTAGGATTATTAACCCAGATAATTAACCCATGATAACCCGGTAAAGCCACTGTCTGGCTTTTTTCCCTGGGGTGTTTCCATTCTCTTTCCCAGGATGCGACCCACAATAGTAAGCTAACACCCATTATAATTCCATTGTAACTCCTAATTTTAATTTCACAACCACTTAAGAGACTGTATATAACAGCAAATTAATTAGTTATTGCCTTATTAAGCTTAAGATAGGCTTAAGTTTGCCCAAAATGCTCTACATACTAAGGGACTTTCTGCATGCATGCCTATCTGTCATTCACCTCTGTACAAACAATATCATGCTGAAATCAAGAATCTTGGTGAAGCAATGTAAAAAGAGAGCAAATGAGAGAGTGGGTGAGATGTTATCAACAAATTTTGTTGAAAATAAGAAAAAGTTTTGGAGTGAGATTAACAAGTTAAGAAAGCCTAGAGAGTGAACAAATGGATTTGTCAGGTCTGTGAGGGCTGCCAGGACTTAAGATCTTTACAGTGAGCAAGGAATTGCCATATTAATACATTTGCGAGGTAAAGCAACATTTAATGACGGCTCAACACTGCCACTAGACGAACCCGTTTGATGTGAACAAGTCTAAAACCTTAAATAATCTTAATAGTTTGCTCCTAATATACCATTAAATCCTTATATATGTGTATCCCAGAGTCTTCCATTACCAAGCCACATAAAACCATACATTACCTGGCAGCATAATGGAGAGGTGTAAGCTTGTCTTGACCTTTAATATTAACATCAGCGCCAGCATGGATGAGAGTCTTGACAGCATCAATGTGAGCATACCGAGCAGCATAGTGTAGAGGAGATAGTTTATCAGCGTCCAGGTTGTTAATACGTCGACGACCATGGTCCCCGAGGCGGTCCAATGCTGAGTGCAGCACCTCGCTGTTCCCATCTCTAGCAAGCTGTAAGTGGGTAAGTAATTAAGTTTATTCAGGTATAAGTAGTACACATAAATAGTTACATAAAATATTATACATAGCAGAATGTGTGTAAATTACCTAGGATAACCCAAAAAAGTCAGACACAGTGACTTATTTCCATTGGGGTCCTTGTAAAGTTTATTTAGGCACTATAAGATTTGTTTGAAATATTGTGTAAGTTTATTTAGGCACAGGTAGGGTGTGCAAAAGAAGAAAATTAAAGGTGAATACAGGAAAGAGTAAGGTTATGAGGATAACAAAAAGATTAGGTGATGAAAGATTGAATATCAGATTGGAGGGAGAGAGTATGGAGGAGGTGAACGTATTCAGATATTTGGGAGTGGACGTGTCAGCGGATGGGTCTATGAAAGATGAGGTGAATCATAGAATTGATGAGGGAAAAAGAGTGAGTGGTGCACTTAGGAGTCTGTGGAGACAAAGAACTTTGTCCTTGGAGGCAAAGAGGGGAATGTATGAGAGTATAGTTTTAACCAACGCTCTTATATGGGTGTTGAAGCGTGGGTGATGAATGTTGCAGCGAGGAGAAGGCTGGAGGCAGTGGAGATGTCATGTCTGAGGGCAATGTGTGGTGTGAATATAATGCAGAGAATTCGTAGTTTGGAAGTTAGGAGGAGGTGCGGATTACCAAAACTGTTGTCCAGAGGGCTGAGGAAGGGTTGTTGAGGTGGTTCGGACATGTAGAGAGAATGGAGCGAAACAGAATGACTTCAAGAGTGTATCAGTCTGTAGTGGAAGGAAGGCGGGGTAGGGGTCGGCCTAGGAAGGGTTGGAGGGAGGGGGTTTAAAGGAGGTTTTGTGTGCGAGGGGCTGGACTTCCAGCAGGCATGCGTGAGCGTGTTTGATAGGAGTGAATGGAGACAAATGGTTTTTAATACTTGACGTGCTGTTGGAGTGTGAGCAAAGTAACATTTATGAAGGGATTCAGGGAAACCGGCAGGCCGGACTTGAGTCCTGGAGATGGGAAGTACAGTGCCTGCACTCTGAAGGAGGGGTGTTAATGTTGCAGTTTAAAAACTGTAGTGTAAAGCACCCTTCTGGCAAGACAGTGATGGAGTGAATGATGGTGAAAGTTTTTCTTTTTCGGGCCACCCTGCCTTGGTGGGAATCGGCCGGTGTGATAATAAAATAAAAAAAAAATAAGGTACGCATAAGTACAATTATTGTACATTGTGTAAATTACTTAGGATAACCCCAAAAAAAGTAATACAAAATGATTTCCAATGAAGTCCTTGAGATTTCCATTGAGATCCTTATCTAAATAAGTTTATTTAGGTACAGGTACACATAAGTACAATTATCATACATAATAACATACGTAAATTACCTACGATAACCCAAAAAAGTCAGTGAGTTATTTCCACTGGGGTCCTTGTTTATTTCCATTGGGTCCTATAGGATTTCTGATTATTATATATTTTGTAAATGTAGTGAATGGAAATAAAAAATCGAAATCTACATCTAGTAGTCTGACTACCAATGGAAATAAGTCACTTTGACTTTTTTGGGTTATCCTGGGTTCTCTACACATATGCTGCTATGCATGATAAGATAAGATTTCGTTGGGATTTATAACCCCGGAGGGTTAGGATAACCCAAGAAAGTCAGTGCGTCATCGAGGACTGTCTTATTTCCATTGGGGTCCTTAATCTTATCCCCCAGGATGCGACCCACACCAGTCGACTAACACCCAGGATGCGACCCACACCAGTCGACTAACACCCAGGATGCGACCCACACCAGTCAACTAACACCCAGGATGCGACCCACACCAGTCGAATAACACCCAGGTACCTATTTGCTGCTAGGTGAACAGGACAACAGGTGTAAGGAAACGTGTCGAAATGTTTCCACCCGCCGGGAATCGAACCCGGGCCCTCCGTGTGTGAAGCGGGAGCTTTAGCCACCGGGCCACTGGGCCACCAGGTCACTGGGCCACAAGGTCACCGGGCCACCAGGTCACCGGGCCACCTATGTGACTGTATTTGTGTATACCTGAATAAATTAATTACCTCACTGGCAACTACCCAAATACTCTGTTTCTAGCCCAAACAAACCCTACTGAAATCTCACTCATCATCAAAACCCTAAAGAACATGGCAGGAGACCCAAATAACACTAAAGAACAAGGCAGGAGACCTAAATAACCTTAAAGAACAAGGCAAGAGACCCAAATAACCCTAAAGAACACAGCAGGAGACCCAAATAACCTTAAAGAACACGGCAGGAGACCCAAATAACCCTAAAGAACAAGGCAGGAGACCCAAATAACCCTAAAGAACATGGAGGGACCCAAATAACACTAAAGAACACGGCAGGAGACCCAAATAACCCTAAAGAACAAGGGAGGGAGACCCAAAAAACCCCTAAAGAACACGGCAGGAGACCCAAATAACCCTAAAGAACAAGGGAGGAGACCCAAATAACCCTAAAGAACAAGGGAGGAGACCCAAATAACCCTAAAGAACAAGGGAGGAGACCCAAATAACCCTAAAGAACACGGCAGGAGACCCAAATAACCCTAAAGAACACGGCAGGAGACCCAAATAACCTTAAAGAACATGGCAGGAGACCCAAATAACCCTAAAGAACATGGCAGGAGACCCAAATAACACTAAAGAACACGGCAGGAGACCCAAATAACCCTCAAGAACACGGCAGGAGACCCAAATAACCCTCAAGAACACGGCAGGAGACCCAAATAGGTTATCATGATTCGCATAAGAAAAGCTTGATATATATTATTGCAACACTTGATAAGAGTCCAGTGTGTGGGCGAGACATAGTCCAGTGTGTGGGCGAGACATAGTCCAGTGTGTGGGCGAGACATAGTCCAGTGTGTGGGCGAGACATAGTCCAGTGTGTGGGCGAGACATAGTCCAGTGTGTGGGCGGGGACATGTCCAGTGTGTGGGGACATAGTCCGTGTGTGGGCGGGGACATAGTCCAGTGTGTGGGCGAGACATGTCCAGTGTGTGGCGAGCTTTAGTCCAGTGTGTGGGCGAGACATAGTCCAGTGTGTGGGCGAGACATAGTCCAGTGTGTGGGCGAGACATAGTCCAGTGTGTGGGCGAGACATAGTCCAGTGTGTGGGCGAGACAGTCCAGTTTTGTGGGCGAGACAAGTTCCAGTGTGTGGGCGAGGACAGTCCAGTGTGTGGGCGAGACAGTCCAGTGTGTGGGCGGGGACAGTCCAGTGTGTGGGCGAGACATTGTTCAGTGGTGTGTGGGAGACATAGCCCAGTGTGTGGGGAGACATAGTCCAGTGTGTGGGCGAGACATGTCCGTGTGTGGGCGAGACATAGTCCGTGTGTGGGCGAGACATAGTCCAGTTTTGTGGGCGAGACATAGTCCAGTGTGTGGGCGAGACATAGTCCAGTGTGTGGGCGAGACAGTCCAGTGTGGGCGAGACATAGTCCAGTGTGTGGGCGAGACAGTCCAGTGTGTGGGCGAGACAGTCCAGTGTGTGGGCGAGACATAGTCCAGTGTGTGGGCGAGACATAGTCCAGTGTGTGGGCGAGACATAGTCCAGTGTGTGGGCGAGACATAGTCCAGTGTGTGGGCGAGACATAGTCCAGTGTGTGGGCGAGACATAGTCCAGTGTGTGGCGAGACATAGTCCAGTGTGTGGGCGAGACATAGTCCAGTGTGTGGGCGGGGACATAGTCCAGTGTGTGGCGAGACATAGTCCAGTGTGTGGGCGAGACTTTAGTCCAGTGTGTGGGCGGGGGACATAAGTCCAGTGTGTGGGCGAGACATAGTCCAGTGTGTGGGTGAGACATAGTCCAGTGTGTGTGGGCGAGACATAGTCCAGTGTGTGGGCGAGACATAGTCCAGGGGTGTGGGCGAGACTAGTCCAGTGTGTGGGTGAGACATAGTCCAGTGTGTGGGCGAGACATAGTCCAGTGTGTGGGCGAGACATAGTCCAGTGTGTGGGCGAGACATAGTCCAGTGTGTGGGCGAGACATAGTCCAGTGTGTGGGCGAGACATAGTCCAGTGTGTGGGCGAGACATAGTCCAGTGTGTGGGCGAAAACATAGTCCAGTGTGTGTGGGCGAGACATAGTCCAGTGTGGGGGCGAGACTTTAGTCCAGTTGTGGGCGAGACATAGTCCAGTGTGTGGGCGAGACATAGTCCAGTGTGTGGGCGAGACATAGCCCAAGTGTGTGGGCGGACATAGTCCAGTGTGTGGGCGAGACATAGTCCAGTGTGTGGGCGAGACATAGTCCAGTGTGTGGGCGAGACATAGTCCAGTGTGTGGGCGAGACATAGTCCAGTGTGTGGGCGAGACATAGTCCAGTGTGTGGGCGAGACAGTCCAGTGTGTGGGCGAGACATAGTCCAGTGTGTGGGCGAGACATAGTCCAGTGTGTGGGCGAGACATAGTCAGTGTGTGGGCGAAAACTTTAGTCCAGTGTGTGGGCGAGACATAGTCCAGTGTGTGGGCGAGACATAGTCCAGTGTGTGGGTGAGACATAGTCCAGTGTGTGGGCGAGACATAGTCCAGTGTGTGGCGGGGGACATAGCCCAGTGTTGTGGGGCGAGACATAGCCCAGTGTGTGGGCGAGACATAGTCCAGTGTGTGGGGAGACATAGTCCAGTGTGTGGGCGAGAATATCCAGTGTGTGGGCGAGAAAATAGCCCAAAGTGTGTGGGCGGGGACTAGTCCAGTGTGTGGGCGAGACATAGTCCAGTGTGTGGCGAGACATAGTCCGGGTTTTGTGGGCGAGACATAGTCCAGTGTGTGGCGAGACATAGTCCAGTGTGTGGGCGAGACATAGTCCAGTGTGTGGGCGAGACATAGTCCAGTGTGTGGGCGAGACATAGTCCAGTGTGTGGGCGAGACATAGTCCAGTGTGTGGGTGAGACATAGTCCATGTGTGGGCGAGACATAGTCCAGTGTGTGGGCGGACATAGTCCGTGTGTGGGCGAGACATAGTCCAGTGTGTGGGCGAGACATAGTCC